TAAGGCATCCTCCCCGTCCCCGTCCCCGTCCCCGTCCCCGTCCCCTTCCCCTTCCCCTTCCCCTTCCCCTTCCCCTTCCCCTTCCCCGTCCCCTTCCCCGTCCCCTTCCCCTTCCCCTTCCCACAGAGCGGGTTTCGGGAGAGAGGGCTCAGGAGAGGGGGAGGGTGACAGATGGGCGGGTGGGAGAGGGGTACGGAGATGGAAGGGGGTCTCGGGAGAGGGACAGAGAGCAGAGAGGTGTTCGGAAGAGGGGAGAGAGAGTGACGGAGCAGGGAGAGGGGTTCGGGAGCGGGGAAAAAGGAACAAAGAGGAGAGAGGGATAGAGCAGGGAGAGGGGTTCGGGAGAGGGGAGAGAGGGACGGAGCAGGGAGAGAGGGATGGGGAGAGGGGTATTCGGGAGAGGGGCTCAGGACAGGGACGGAGAGGGAGAGGGGAGAGACGGACAGAGAGGAGAGAGGGGCTCGGGACGGGGGCGGAGAGGGAGAGGGAAGATCTTGAGAGTAGTGGGAGTTAGAGGTGGGGGAGAGATGCAGATGGAAAAGTTTTGGGGGAAGTTGAATGTAATATATAAAGAGAGAGCGCGCTGGGGAAGATGGATACAAGAAAGAAGGGAAAGATTGAGAGAGTGATGGCGGAAAGGACACAGATGGGAGTGGAGGAGAATGAGAGACAGACTGGGAATCAAAGGAGAGAGATGAGGGAAAGAGTCACAGGCTGGGAAGGGGAGACAGAGATTATATTGTGGGGCTAGCCGATTCCACACAATGACACTTTGCTATCTCCGTAAGGACAGGGCATTACCACTTTAAGAGCCCTTTAAACTGAAAGCTGAGGGAACCCCCCCGTGCTGACGTGAATGTGGGTGTTGTCTCTGTGACGCTATCTGTGTGTGTGTGTGTGTGTCTGTGGGGGGGGGGCTGGCCAGCACTCTTACATTTTTAAATTTCTTTGTGTGTGTATGTGTGTGTGAAAGACAGAGAGCGTAATCAGAAAGGACTAATCCACCCTCTGATGAGTCACTGAGAATAGGCAGAGGGGAAAAGGCACCATCAGCTTTCCAAGCGGAGAGTGAAGACAGAGCTTGAGCTAGTCTCAGGCATAGCCAGCCGGATCCCAGTGAAGTTTCATTGCTATTTGGTTTCAAAGCTTCTTGTTTGAAAAGAAGTGTCCTTTTGGTGAAGCAGAGTGAAGTTGAGGTTTATCTAACTGTTTTGGGCTCTCACAAGCTGACGTTAAAGGGTATGTGAGACAGGACCCTGTTTGTGAGGTTATGAGGCTGTAATTGGTAAGTAAGGGGAGAGGAATGTGTCAGTTTCCTTTGTCGCATTAGTGTCTATTTCCAGTTCGTTCCATTGTTTCTGTCAGTTTCTCAGAGACACATGTGTGTCATGTTGGATACAATGAAACATTATTTCTTTAAATGTAGCAAATTCAGTGTAACCAAATAATCAAGCCGTGAATAGGAATGATATGTACAGTTTCGTTATAATGTGCTCTTCCATTTTTAAAAGATTTTTAGTGAACTCACTTACTGACTTGCTCTCTGTCTTTCTGTCCGTATGTCTGACTTTTCTCTGTGTGTGTCTATCTCTCTCCCAGTCTATCTCTCTCCTCCCTACCTCTTTCTCTGTCTATCTGCCTATATTTCTCGCTGTCTCTTTCTCAAACTTTCTCTCTGTCTGTCTTTCCCTCTCTATCTGTTTGTCTCTCTCTCTCATCTGTCATCCTCTCTGTATTTCTCTCTTGTCCCCTCTCGCCCCCCTCCCTCTCGCGCTTTCACTCCCTCCCCCCTTTCTCCCTCTCACTCCCTCCCCCCTCTCTGTTTGTCTCAATCTCTCTCTCCTTTTCCCTAATTATATTTTTTAATTTATTTCAGGTACAAGTTGCTGGAGTCTCTTGGAATCATTCAGGAAAATCTGTCTGGGGAGAATTTGCTCTTTTTTTTAAACTCCCTCTCGACCTTCCCCCTCCCCTTCTCCCCCCTCCCGACTCACCGACCCACCGACCCATGTGAATCCCTGGCCGGACACACAAGGACAGCTTGTTCTGAGGAGGAAGTCAGATTTAGCCTTTTCCAAATTGTGGGGGCGTTCCATTTTGCATTTGGAGTCTCCTACGGAAGAGAGAGAGCGAGAGGGGGAAGAACAGGGCTCATCTGACAGGGACAGATATGTCTGCAGGCGAGCAGTTTAATTATCAGGGTAAGTGCACCTTCTGTTTTTTTCGGCACATAACTGTCTGTTTTGGGGATGGGAGGTGCATTTTTGTGAATCAAAGTGGCTAAAGAGTGACTGCTTAAAGTGGAAATGTCCTTCGACGCTGACCAGGTGGGGCCCATCACAGAATTCCCACTTTTAACATGGAACAGTTGGTTTTCATCTGGATTTTACCAGCTACTGCCCCCACCCCACCCAAACCCTCGCCATATCTTCCAAGAGACTGGAAAATTTTTACTTAGATCTTGGCGTCCAGACCAACACATCGAGAAAATCTCCTGTACAGAGTTCTGATCGTTTGTTTCCGTTCACAGTTTTTTGTCACCCGCCTACCGCTAGCTGTT